CACACCGAATTCGGACTTTCTGGAAGGGTTCCGAGTTGCTCAAATTGCTATACGATCTAGTTTTTGATGAAACACGAGAAAACAAGGGGTCTTAGAACAGAAAGCAATTCCTATCAGTCTATCGACCGTTACAAAGGACAGGCCGTTTCTCCAATCAGTCAATTTGCTCGGATATTATTTGGCAACAAAAACCTCCCTACACGTCTCTTGTCTTGTACAGAAGTACGATGAATGGTAATTTTTAGATGGGGCGCATCTGGCGAAGCGCAAGATAGAGAATATCTTATTGCCCGATTGGTGAATAGGGCTCTATATGTTTAGGAACGTATTTTTTAATGAAATTGGTTGTTTCTTCGCATCTAAAAGACTTTTGTTTCGGAACGAGTCTATGTGGGTAAAACTATAACACTAGACATGTCATTTTCAAACTTACACATAATTTTTTTTGTTAAAAATTCAGAAAAAGTACATGGGATATATAAAAATTAGTGAGAGTTTAGATACAAAAATTCCAAATTTTACCGTTTTGTAAAAATTACACTAAATGGAACTCTATATTGAAAATTTACAGTGTTATATTACATTGTGTGCAAAACCGTACTTATCTTATCAACTTCGACGTCACCTGTTACATGAGTGTTGCACAATAATGAAAAAGTAATATTAACGGTCGGTAAAAGAAAGCGCAAAAAACTAACGTATAGGAGGGGAATTCTGGAAGGAAGCCGAGATAGTTGAAGATAGGCAGTTGAAGTGAGAACAGTGTGCAGATAGGTAGCAAGATGATCGGCGGGTAGTGTGACAAAGTAGTGTAAAATTAAGTGTTTACCCGTTATTAGTTAGCAGGTAATATTCTTTAAGTACTTTGTTGTTAATTGTTCTATATAATCTTATGATTGTGATGATTATAGATGTTTCATGATAATAATTCTTTGTAAGTTTAGCTTCCATTGCTTTATGCTCAAGGGCATATATTTTTCCAAGGTAAAATTGTTATAATTATACTTAAAGTGTGCCCATTATTTATTTCATGTTAAAAATATATGTATTGTCCTGATTGCCAGACATTACAATAACGACTTCTTTGTTTCACATCTAACTTGTTTTTGCCACGATTACGTTATACGTAAAATATAGATGTTTCATGATAATAATTCTGTATATGTTTAGCCTTCATTGTCTTACGCTCAGGGGCGTATATTTTTCTAAGATAAAATTGTTACAATTATTATTATAGATTGCTCATTATTTATTACATGTTAAAATATGTATATTGTCGTGACTGCCCAGATATTGCATTAACGACTTCTTTGTTTCACATTTAACTTGTTTTATCATGATTAAGTTGTTCTTTGATTTCTTGTGCTCACTTTATGTCATACGTCTATACGAGCCTTGTTGAGTTTACTAACATTTTCGCCCGTGCGGAACGAATCTGGATTAAGCTCGATTGCCTCCCGTATGGGACTCCAGTGTTATGAAGGATCTTCCGAAATCTCAACTATAGCTGGATTGCCTCCCGTATGGGACTCCAGTACCTTCCGGCTCTGCCGGCTAACTAACACCAAACCTCTTCAGTTTTACTTGGAAGTGTGTATGACTAATATGAGGTAACAGATGACATTTAGTGACACATTAAATGAGACAGGTCTTATTTATCATTAGCAAAGGTTCTTAATTTATGCCTTTGGTTAGCGGTTGTTTTGTATTTATATTTGGGTGGTAAGAGCAACGATCGTGGGTTTCTCTGCCATGCTCTTTCCCCACAGGAGCTCTAGGTGAGCCTGGCACTCTCCTTTTATGTTTAATGGTTGTTAATGTTTTTGTTGTGCTTTCTATTTGTCACATGTTTAATTTGAATTGTATGTAAATAAAGGTTAGGTGTATTTTCTCTGCTTTTGTTTTATATAATTAAACCATACATCCCCTCTACAAAGTTAGTAGCCAGCGCCTCCCGGTCAATAAAAAAATAAATACACACAACGTAGGTATTCCTTATGACGATCACATGTTTTTGGCCACAACGACGTTTACTTATTTTTTGTCGAACCTAGGGTTGTTATACTACAATTGAATGCTTTAAAATAATTTCCAAGTTCGTAAACACCTGCGTCACGAATATTATTATTATTATTCTGAGAAACTAATTGAATTGAATTTATATGCACGACTATAGGCCCTATTTCAATTCAAACGTTATATTCAAACTCGAATTCCTATTAGTGCCGATATAGTATAAACCCCTCCGTCAAGTTTCCAGTTAAAAATGTTCTATTAACTTTTAACGGCGACAGCTGGCGGAACAGGTTCCCTTCGATTTTCAAACACGAACGCCACCAGGTCTCCTAACCGACATTAGTGCTGGTGACAGGTTTATACAGTTATTAATCTCTATCCATTGTAAATTACTCTCAGGCCGTACACGTGGCGTCGTGTTCAATTTCGAGATCGGATTTACCTTAAAAAGTCAGTCGTGTCACTATTATCCGATGTTAAATAACTGCAAAGTCGGTTTGGCATAAATTCAGATACAAAAAAAGATTGTAAGTTTCATGAATTTGTTATACTGTTATATTAGGATTCAAAGTGTTACTTTTGTTGCGAGCAAATTTTGTATTTGTTGTCATTTCTGATTTCACAACATCTGAAAATAATATAACTATTAATGAAAACGGTTCCAAGAATGAGGGTAGTGGTAGTTTCAGTAGTTTATTTAATTTTAATAGTTGTTGAAACTGTGTATTTAATATCAATGTGAATAAACAAAATTTATTGTAAATATTGTTGAATAAACTTTTATAAATGAAACTTGATTAACACTTTTAATCTAACGATTAAAAGTGTCAACTTTAGCCACTAGGATTAAAAGTGAATACTTTTGTTGCTAAGATGCATTTTTTTTCTCAGTAAAGAAAATGTCAACCTTAGAGACTTGCAGTCAAAAAATTTAATAGTTTTGTGACTGGTTGGAGCTCACAGTATTGATTTGATAAATAATTTCTAAAGAATTTTCTGGCGGTTAATAGCGGTTGCTTACAGAAAATTTTCCATTTTTGTGCTAAGTAATAATATACTTGTCAGATAAATTATTTAAAGTACGTAGTTGAAGCAAAAACTTAATAGGTACTAAAAAACTCTTGTGCCGAACTGTATAAAAAATATTTTGTATCTACATCTTGAAACCACCTCCCTTTTCCCTTTTTCCAAATCATCGTCTCTTGTTCCCACCCTCTAACAGCAAAGTAGTGTAACATTTGTTCGAGACGTAAAGGACTCCTTATCCCGCGCTAAGACGTTTGCAGGAGGATAAATCACCTAGCGCCAAGGATGTTTTGGAAAAAATATTTATATTTACTGTTTGTAAGAGTGGACATGAAAGGAGGTGGTGGTATACGCGTTAAGATGTTAAAATAGCAAAAAAGATAAACTGCTTAAACGTAAGTTAAATTCAATAAGTTTGATGAAGCATAATGACGTCTAAACTTAATTCGAACAGTTCTTTTTTATGTCAAAGTTAAAAAAAATGAATTTTATCAATATTTCCAAAACCGTAGCACCAGTAAACATATTTTTTAGTATGAGAATTTAAAAAATAACGTTCACCGATGGAAGACACTAATTACATCTTCTAAATGATGTAATTATGATTTAAACTTTCATATGTCGACAATTTGAAGTAAACAATAGTAATAAATAATATAGAATTTGGTGAGGTTATTTCAAATATGCAGTGGCAAATTTGGATTACATGCTACAAATTCTTCCTAGGGGCATTTTTGATGCTTAAATCAATTTTTTACTCTTGGTGCTTTATTTGCATGGTTTGATGCATAATCATATATTTAGCCAAAACTATTATTAATGAGATAGAAATGTAATTTAAACACCTAAATCTTCATTTTCTGATTAATAGGAGCACCTTTAAAGTTTTCCACGAGCAGGAAGTCCATATTAAAGCCCAAGAAACACACTGCATCGCGGCATCACTTTTCTTTTAAGCTACAAATTACTAACTTGTACGATTGACCCACGAACATGTTCCCTCTTAATCCTATTATCCTCGGGGCCTTTAAAGTCGGGATAAATCCGATCTTCCGTCATCTATATCGCCTCTCACGCTCGAAGGGCTTTGCGGAACGTCTCGCTTAATCATAAAAAATTTCTATACGCCCAACTTTCCACGGGGTTTCCGGTAAATCCGGGGCGGGAGTAAACACGCAAAGTAGTTTTTTTGGTTTGACTTTCGGTCCCTGCTCCACATAAATTTAACAGATGGCTTCAATAATTTAATCAAATCGTTTTACTTCAAAAGCTAATAATGCTTAGATAAAGCTATGTTTGATTCTAAAAACGTCTTAAGGAGGTTTATCGGGTACGGAGGTCCGTCTAAAGTCTAACTAAAGTTTCTGTAGATTCGCTAGTGACTAAAGTCTTTAGATTTGGTAACGTTGCACTTGGCTGGCGCGCTCGGCTCGTCGTTTGCTCGGTCCCGTTCGATCATTCTGTTTGTCTGGACACCTGCGAATTTCAAATAATACGCTACGTCGAGACCGCGGTGTTGCCGCTATCACGCATATGGAGGGTAAGTTAGTCAACGACAGCAGTTTGCAGGAGAATTATTATAAATTATGTATCGGTTTCCTATTTATACACAAGTTGCGGTGGAAACTGTTCATTCTCATATGACTGTACTAAATCGTGAAAAATTATTTTATTAACATCTCGTCTGTTAGGTATCCAAACTACTCATCATTTTTTTTTGAGGATTTTCTTCATATTAATAAGCTTACATTAATTTTTTTATGAATACAGTTCGTCAATTCCAAATCAGATAAACCTCCTTAAGCATCAAACAGAACATCAGTGGAAAATATTGTAAAGCAAAGCGATGTTTCATCTTTTCACTTCTCCAAAGAAAAAGTGTATTTTGGGCAGATAATAATTTGGAGATAAGTTTGAAGAAGTATACCTAATTATCGCTAAGAATTACAATAACTTACCATTAAAAAGGTAACTGCGACATTTCCCAATTAAAAATGAATGTGTATTTTTGGCCGTTTCCTGAAAAAGAAAAAATATATATTAAGAAAGAAATTGTAGAGGTAACATAAGCACTGTAAAGTTTTACATTACATTAAGAAAAATATCATTAACTATAAAATAGAAATAAATGTTGCATTTTTTTTATTTACTACTGATAAATTTAATCAAAATCCGATGGTTGCTTTTACTTTAACTATATGTATTTTAATAATTTAGAAAAGTGATATTTTATCAAAATAACCGGGTTTAATAGCGCGTGCTTCTGAATTGCATGTCCTAACCGCATTAATTGTTTGGCGCAAGATAAACTGCGATCGATCCCCTACCGATAAATCGACGATTATTATTTGTACAATAATTTTAATCAGACCCATACATTTGCAACGGCAATTCAGGACAAACTTCGACGCAATCAGTATTTACATATAATTTATGAAATGTGTCGCGTCCGGGTAATGTGCAATAAATATCTGGTTTTGGAAAAGCGATAAATTCGTGTAAAATATAGTAATAACGAACGTAATCCATTTATTGTATGTACCGTATATCCAGATTTTCGGTGGCAGGGTTGCATTTTACCTCCGTGCGTCGCGTCGGGTCGATTTCAGCAGTAATTTCCACTAGGACAACCGATCTAGGATACTTCCCGTTCACCGTGGGGAGCGGAGCACTTTTCCGCCCGCGGTAATTTATAACTTACTGAATGACCTGAGGCGACTAGTCAGGCGTAACAATTTTTTAACCACATTAAACGTAGGTATCCTAAAAAAGAGTTAGTTACACTTTTTTTATGAAAAATATGCATTATTGATGTTTTACTCGTACGTTCAAGGTTAAGACGAGAAATCAAAGGCTGCTTAGACATTTGTTCTGAATAAATGAAGTACTATGCACAGATTCCTCTATACAGACTGTTACAAATTCGCTTCTCACTACGGGGATCTTGGAAATGGTAAGAGATACGAACTAGCTTAAATGGAAGCAAAGTCGTCCTCTACCGAATGGCAGAATCAATTTTTATATGTAAAGTTTCGTCTCTCCAGGACCATCATCAACTTCATTTTTTTAAATACGACCCTAGAAATTTTATTACATTTTTCGCAAGCCTTCATGATCCCCAATACTGTACTGCCTCAGTACAAACCAGATTCAGACGTTTTGTTTCTAAAAATGCATCTTCAGTGTATTCGTTCCAAATTTATCTAATTTTTTTATTTAGATTTCTTTGTTTATTGAATTATCGTACACTGTAAGTGTCGTTAGATCCTGTGAAATCCATCTAGTTATTTAAACTATTATCACCAAGCATTAAAATAAAAAATTATTAGAGTTTTATTCCCGTGTCCATAGTTATTTCTAGGCTTCTCGAGTGCTCAAAATTTAAACAAATTCCGATCTATTATTTTCGGGATATTCATACAAATACATCTGACATACTCTTTCACAGTTGCAGTTACAGATATAATAAATTCCGACCATATTACGCTGATCTTCATTTTCAACCTTTGCCAAAACGAAAATGTTTTTGAACATTTACTGAAATTTTTTAAAGAATAATATTCAGTTGGCGTTTTGGTTGTTCATATGCATTTTTAAGAATTAATTTGTCATAATGAAATTAAAATTGTATTAATGGTTTAATTTTGACGCAACAACTTATCGAGTTGTGTATGACCAGGTGTAAATAACTAGGTGGATTTCACAGAGTCTAACGACACTCGAGTGTACGATAATTCAATAAACATAGAAATCTAAATAAAAAAAATTAAATAAATTTGGAACTAATGTACTAAAGATGAATTTTTCGAGACAAAACGTCTGAATCTAGTTCAGGCTGAGGCAGGACAGAATTGGGGGTCATGATGGCTTGCAAAAAATGTAATAAAATTTCCGGGGTCGTATTTAAAAAAATAAAGTTGGTGATGGTCTTGGGGAGACGAAACGTTATATATGCTTAAAAATTGATTATGCCACTCTATAGAGGGCAAAAATATTTAAGCTATTTCGTATCTTTTACCGTTTCCGAGACCCCTGTAGTGAGAAGCGATTTGTAACAGCCGTATCATTATAATAATGTAATAATTTCGTATATAATCGGTATCATTAATTTATCCATTTCAAAGTTTAAATACATACTTTTAGAAATTTTTATCATTTCCTAAGAAATTAAAGCAACAATTTCTTTAAAGTTTAATGCTTTATGCTATACGCATAAGTGACTACTGTTATACAATTTGTAATTGTCTCAAAACAAAAAAAATAAAACAAACCAAATAACTATTAATTGAATGATAGTGAAAATATGAATATATTTTTTTAATTCTTGTGTGCAAATTCAATGTAAGAGAAATTTTCGCAGCTACAATTCTAGTTAAAAAGTTTAACATTATAAATAGTAAAAATAAACATATTTTTATTATTTCAAGCGAACAATGAAAAGATATTTATCATTGATTTTTTTTAAGAACTATGTACCTATTTGCTATTATTCCTTTAGAATGATTTTTTGAACTTTTTGACATTACGTTATATTTGAAATTATATTTTGAACAAGCGACAATTTCAGGATTGTTTTCAATTTACTTAACCGTGTTGTAAGCTCCCTTTAATATAAAAAAAATCAGAATCAGAATCTAAAACGACTCGTTTTTCGAATAAAACTTTTTCGTCGGAATTGCAAAATACTCATTGCCGTCAAAATTCTAAGTCTTCTAATGGTACTGACCCCCTCGAAATTCCGCAACTAGTTGACATATTTGTAAGTCAACTTAACGGGTTTCTACTTCTATTTCAATAAATCAGTGGGCCAAGTTTCACCACCAGTCTACAAAAACATCTTCAGAGGTATTTCAGAAATTATGTTTTTTCCTGATTTCAGTAATGATATTGCATCACAATATTTGACAGCAAATTTGGCAATTTTTTACCGGTTCCAAGCTTATCAATCACACACCAGTTTTATTGCCTGACTGCGAATATTATTCTTTGAAATATTGTTTTAAGAGACGAGTTTTAACAGTTTTTTTCCGGCTTTGGATGTTTCAATTTCAGTGTCAACTTATATTTATTATAATTATTAAATATTAATAGAGCTTATCACGTAATCTAACGTTTTTATGCTACATTGTTCTGTTCAAGAGTTCCTCCAGTGGTGGAAGAACGCCACACCAGTTTCATTTGCCGCAGCAGTATCTCTAACACATGCAGGGTATTCGTTTGCCTTCGACTGTATACGAGTAGTGCAGTTCAAAATACAAAGCAAGTCGTTCTGAGTGGAATGCATTCGTTGATCTGCCCCACTTGCTTTCGAGCGTGGAATCTCATTTCGTATTCGATGTACCGATGTATATTAACCGATATTCTACCAGTTCCCGAAATACCTAATTTAATAGATAAATATGTAGTTGGCAACAAAATAAAAGTCAGTAAGTGACTACGCATCTTGTAAACAAACCCTTAGGCGCTTTTCTCGAACTCTTGTCGTGACCCATTCCCGTCAATTCGACTCGTCATCCGACACGCATTTCATGTATCATACCGGAGCCTGAAAATATCAATAAAACGGCGATTCGCGAACACCATAAAAGGCCGATATCAAGAAACGTCTTCCAAAGCCCCGAGATCGAAAGGATTTGTCAATTCATATCCAACTATATTCAATTTCCTTTTCCGCGGAATTGAGGGTAAGTATCTATATATGAATTCATGGCGAAAAAGTGATATAAATACTTAACGTATTCTGCTGATTCGAGATATCTCTTATGATAGATAAATCGTCCCTTAATAGGGATTTCGTATATGAATGGATCTGCGGTCGAGCGAAATTCAATTCAGGAGGGAAACTGAAATATTTTGTAACTAAATGTAGGTATTCAGGCTAACTCTTATTATTTATACAAGGTGTCATATTTATACGGAGGCTACCATAGCACCAATTGGCTGAGGTATTTGGATAAGAAAAAAAAGTAGAAACATACCTCTGTTTGTTTAGAATTTTAAAACTTTTTAGTATTACCTGTTTTAACTTTGCTAAATGCGTCCTTATATAGGTAGCTACTGTATATAGTACTTATGATAGTAGTATAGCTAGCTAATAGCTAATATTTAATAAATGTAAAAATTTTATTTTATTAAAAACAATAGAATATTTTTTAATGTAAAATTATTTAAAAGTGGCCCAGTTTAATTAAAATACAGTTTAAAAAACTAACTGTAACAGTAGGTACTATTTATTTGAAAAAAAAAAGAATTTCAGATAGACGTTTTTAATTTATTAATATCCAGCAATAAAAAATAGCATTAAAAATAATACATAGCAAAAATATAGCTATGTAGGTGGTGCACTTCCGTTACTTTCATTTTTAGCAGTGTAGATATACGTGAAAAATAACTTGTTTATATCACGAATTTCTGTCTTCTATAACTGCCTCAATTTCCCCTCCAAATAAATAACATACGATCTATCCAAATACTGACATCTCTAACTCATGAATTCTTCATAAAAGATAACGAATCCAATATATCGACGTACGGAGCGAGACCTCACCCCTTTCGATACAAACAATCTCATTTTTCTCGTTTAATCCAGAGACGATCTCAAATTACACGAAACGGAGCTTCGGAGACGAGCGCTACCCTAACGTTTTGCTTACTAGAGCAAACGGAAGCACCTAGTTCGTTGGATGGAGCATCTGCCGTCTGCATGTACAAAATGCATTCTCTCGAGAAGGCATTTTCCTCGACGAGCCATATATTATACGTGCCGGGAATATCGGACGCAAATGAAGGCAAGTGCGGCGAAGGATTGGAAAATAATACTGGGCCAGCGGTATTCGTTTTTGATATGGAAACAGTCAGTGATAGCAAAACAATAATAAAAAAATTAATTAAAATTGCACAGATGACTAACAACAAATTGCGTTATAACGAGCGTTCAAATAAAAACGTGGTCAAGTTGGTTCTGAAAATTTGGACGTAGGGTGTAGCGTATAGCAAATGAACTTAAATGTCATCTGTCAAAGNT